TAGTGTAACTACCAGCAGGTCCATCCAAGTCAAAGAGGTCTCAGCTGAGGAGTGGAACTAAGAGCACCTAACCCGTTAGCACTATGAAGAAACAAACAAAAATGAAGTCTATACTGGCTCAGTTATCGCCCAGGATAAAAAGGACCATGGTGGATGCTGCTGATTCTGGATATCCATCGACAAGTGGGCTACAGAATCAAAATACAAATGAACAGTCACAGAAGTGGCAGACATATACAATGCCAGAAAACCACACAATCATCATCATCACCACCACCACCACCACCACCATTTATATGGCATCAATAATGCACATGGCACTTTGCAATTAAGCAACCATTTTCTTCCTGGCAAAGGTTAACAATCCAAAATATGTGAACACACACTCAGACAGGGAAAAAAGGAATAGTAAACTATAACACCAATAGTACACATCTCGGGATAAAATACAAATACATTCAATGTAATATAAAGCCTACTGAATGTAATCAAAGCATGTAAGATTATTTTTTTAAAATTAGTGATTTTTAAAACCATCTATCCATATATTTAAGGATCTTTGGATGACATACACCGAAATTGCTTTAGAATGATCAATAATTATTTTGAAAGGCTAAAATATATTAAATCATTTATCACCCAATGCCAGACACATTTCAGTTATTGTAAATATATGCTGACTACAGTACATGTGCAAATTGGATGAAATCAATTAGGCCCAAAGGTTTCAATATAAAGCAGTGGTTTGAAGGGCACAGTGTTGGTGCCAACTGGATCTCCAAGAGGAGAGTATTCCATAAGCTGGAGGCCTCTGCAAGGAAAGCCATCCATCACATGCTCCCACATTTGCCCCCACTGTGAGAAACAGTGTCAATTCTTAGACAAGGCATATATTGACAGAGGTCCTCCATCAACTGTCAAGATCCCAAGACATTTTAGTTTTGGATATACAATCCTTTTTTGAATTGTCACAAGTACCATCATTACTTTGGCATGGATGTCATACTTAATTTCTACATGTATTGCACTACAAATATAATGTATTTTCACAAATGCTGAAATCCAAGCTCACATTCATCAAGTTTGTATGGTGTTAATCTTCTGTGAAATATAAATCTGACCATTCCCTGTCTGTGGAGGGACCTCAAGAGAACTCACTTCCTTTCTGTCACACTGAATGCCAGAGAACAGGGCTTTTAAAACTGTTTCCACTCACAACCCACTCTTGACCAAGACATTTTGTGTGACCCCATTTTGTGTGATCCCAGTTATATAAAATAGGCATAAAACATTTATTGATAACAAATCAGCATTTGCAAGATTTACTAAACAGACTGTTTTTTTTTCTTTTTGTGGTATACAGCTAAAGCAATTTCTGCAGAGACCACTGCAAACATTGCAAGACGTTGCTAACAGATTTCTATTCAGAAAGCTTTTACTGTTGCCAATTTTTGTGTGACCAAACCCACATTAGGGGTTGGGACCCAGAATTTAAGAAGCAGTGCTCCTGAACACTGGGGAAATAATGGTCTAAAGATATTTGGAGTGCTTCAGCAGCTTGCTTACTGAAACAGTGAGAGCTGCAATTCCCCAATGTCTAGGAAGTCACGTAATTCCCAACCTAAGCTAGTGGCTTATTGTGTTGTCGAAGGCTTTAATGGCTGGAATCACTGGGTTGCTGTGAGTTTTTTGAGCTGTATGGCCATGTTCCAGTAGCATTTGCTCCTGACATTTTGCCTGCATCTATGGCAGGCATCCTCAGAGGTTTGTTCAGAGGTCTGTGGGGCAAGCAGGGTGTAACAATAATAATAATAAAACTTTATTTATATACTGTTCTATCTTCCCAAAGGGACTCAGAGTAGTTTCCACCAAAGAAGTGGCAAGCATTCAATGACAAAATACACAACAAAGAAAATAATCAGCCCCCAGATATGTGTGTGTGTGTGGGGGGGGGGGATGTCCAGGGTGGAACATAATATACACAATACACAGCTTCTTTATCCTCCCTCCTGAGTCTACTACTCCACAGTGTGTCTGAGACCTACACCTGAGTGACTCTGCCATGTGGGCAGACCTAAAGCCTCAGTAGTTTACCATTTTATATATGGCACTTATTTATAAACTGTGACTCTATCTTGTATAGCAGACATGGGCAAACTTGGGCCCTCCAATTTGTACCGGCTGTTAGGAATTGTGGGAACTTAAGTCCAAAACACCTGGAGGGTTCAAGTCTGCCATGCCTGTTGTACAGTGAAAGGATCTTGCATAGTGAAAGGATCAGAGGATCCCAAAAGCTTGTACATTCTTGAGCATTCAGTTTGCCTGACAGAGGAAGAGAATGATAAATATCAGATTACATTTCAATACAGAGCTTATTCTAAGGCAATTGGCACAAATCCCACACTACCAACTATTAGCAGAGTAAACTTTAAACCCCAATTAAAAGAGCAAGGGTTTCCGCAGCTATAGTTTAAAGAACGAAGGATCCAAGACATTCCAGAAACTTCTTAAATCCTGTGTAATAATTTCCCCACCATTGATATGAGCCACTGTTGCTTGTGCACAGCATTACTGAATTACAACACCACCTTCACCACGAAAGCTGTAGCAGTCTGTCAAAATCAGTTCTTTTCATGAAGATCTATTTTCAGAAGGCTTGACATTCCCTGTCATCCAAAGAAGAACAGAACGAACAGGAGAATTTTTCTGAATCCAGCTAGATGAAAGTCAGCTATTCTAATTCCGGTCTGACCTTGCTGATTTTCGTTCAAAATACATGTAATCCTACATAGGGAGAAAAGAAGCAGAAATTAGATGAAATCCAATAGAAATGCAGCTCCCATGTATTATCTTATTTTACCCAATATCTTTTTTTTTAAAGCTGGTAGAAGGGGGAAATCTAAGGATTGAGAATGACCATCTCTCAGGGGTGCTTTGAATGCGATTTCCCTGCTTCTTTGCAGGGGGTTGGACTAGATGGCCCATGAAGTCTCTTCCAACTCTATGATTCTAGAAGATAGGATTATGAGCATGTGAACAGCAAGAAAATGAAGCTTTGGTATTTTCCATTCACGTTTCTGCTAAGCAGTCTTTTACTGGCCATAATCAACATTGTACCTTTCTGTGGCAGCTACCAAGGCTTTTTTTCTGACATCCTTTTGTGTTTTTCACCATACAATGGACCACAGCACCTTCCTAATTATATTTTCCAATTTTCCTCTTTTCTCCACACATCTTTGGTTAATATGAGGTTGACATCATAATTTTGAAGTAAGAAACAATTTGCTCTGTTAATGTGTTCATTACCATTCTAAAGAGTGATGCCCAGATTCTGCTGCTTTAATAATGAACTAGCTGTTTGGCATTCATTTCCTGTGCTTTATGTTGGTTGAAAATGGAAAGAAAGCCCTACAGGACTATACAGTGGCCCTCAGTATCCACTGCAGTTTAGTTTTAAGAGCCTCCTAAGATACACAAATCTATGAATGATCAGGTCCTATTACATACAACAGTGTAGTAAAATGGTGTCTCATCTGTCTAAACATCTACGGAGGGTATTCACTATAACCAGATTTGAAAAGGCGGATACAATGGTTAAACATGGAACAGATACAGAATCGTTCCATATAATGAACGATTTTGTATCTGTGGGGCGACAGAGGTAGAGGATATTACACATGTACTGTTTAGTTATATTTTGTACAAGAAAGAGAGAAATCTATACCTCGGACCATTCATTACACAGAAGACTCACTGGGATCCCCATATCAAAACTACATTTTTCTTCGTGGTCTCTGCGAATGCACACTTGTGGAGAGACTGCGCCTGCGCGGGCTCCAACGGAAACTTCTACATTTTAAAACTTTTCAAGTTTTGGCGGTAACCCCGCCCAGCCCCGGCAGGGGATAAAAGGGCGCCCCGCGCACACCGATCCAATTCCTTTTTTTCCGCCGCACGGCTCGCTTCGGTACTTCTAGTGTTGGATAGTGTTGGATAGTGTTGTTGGATAATCATCTCTTGAATTCTCCTTCGAGTTCTCATCGAGTTGTTGACTGTATTATGTCAACAACTCGCTTCAAAAGATGCGCGAAATGTCCGAAGAAGATCCCTGATTCGGACAAGCACGCTCTTTGCCTTTTGTGTCTCGGAGAGGCACATATCACCTCCTCGTGTCGTCATTGTCAAGCATTGACGGCACAGTCCCGTAAGAACCGGGTTCATCGGCTTCGGTACCTTCTATACCAACAGACGTTGGCCCCGGTACCTTCAACATCGGCATCGGCGTCGACGTCAGCCACGGTGTCTAGGCCTTCGACAGCAGCTTCGGCGTCGAAGACACCGACGACAACATCTGTCGATCCCTCGACAGAAGCCGAACCTCGCCACCCAAGGGCGAAGAAGGCCGCGCAGAAGAGGCCGAGAGCAGCTATGTCGACAGCTTCGAAGGCCTCAGCGTCGGTAGCTTCCAAGGCTCCAAAACCTACGAAGCAGAAGGCCCCATGCACGGTCACTACCGAGACCGTACGCATACGACACTCATCGACCAGCTCGGTGGCGTCGGTGAGATCAATCAGGTCCACGAGGTCGACTTCGGCGACTCCGCCATCTTCCACGGCGGTTCGCATTGCCTTTCGCCGGTCTCAGGAAGAGTCTCGGCGTGCCTCTACCTCATCCTCCGTTCCGCCCACCCCGGGCAAATCGCTGTCAAAGACTGCTCAGCCACCGGCAAAGAGGAAGAAGATGATGCCGCCTCCACCCTCATCTTCTTCCTCTTCCCGAAGACAAACCACTGCCTCCTCGGCCACCTCGTCGGCGAGATCATCGCTGTCACAGCCTACTGAACCTCAGCCGGCCCCACAGCCTGCTCAGGAGCCGCAACCCTTGCCGGAGCAGCTTTCGGAACAGCCCGCGTCCCCGGTGATCTCGGTGGACACGGTGATCGAGGCACCTACTCGACACGTGGCAGCCAGACAGGAGCTTTTCCCGCCGGTCACGGCACTGACTACTGTGACAGCCAGACAGGAGACCTCTCCAGTACTGGAGACTCCGGAAAGGGGCAGGCAGACAATGAGGCTGGCCCGTGCCATTCAGGCTTCGACCTCAAAAGCCCCTCCAGTGGCCCAGCTGCAGCTTCAAAGCCGGGATGCTTCCTCATCCCCTCCTCCCCAATCCCTGCCTCCTGATGATGAAGAGGAAGATGGCGAGTTGCCGGGATCGGTACACTCGGGATCGGTATTGTCTCTCGGGATCGAGAGATCACCTACCCACGACGCCTATGAGGCGGATCCTCCATCTCCTACAGACAATGTCCGAGCCTTTGCAGATCAAATGGCTCGCATGGCTGAGGCTCTGGGCCTGGAGGTCAAACAGACTTCCAAAGCAGTGCTGGACCCTGTGTTTAAATACTTGGAGCTGCTAGCAATCTTCAAAGCCCTGAGAGCGTTTGCCCTCCTGGTCACCGGGAAGTCTGTCCATATCCTCACGGACAACATGGTGGCAATGTTCTACGTGAACAAGCAGGGAGGAACGGGCTCGAGAAAACTTCTCAAGCTGTCACTGGAACTCTGGGACTGGTGTGTAGCCAGGTCGGTGTCGATAACAGCCTTGCACCTCCCAGGCGAAGCCAACGTCGAGGCCGACGTACTCAGCAGGACCAGGGCTACGTCCCACGAGTGGAGGCTGAACCCCGATGTCCTGTTGGAGATCTTCAGGGAATGGGGCCTCCCAGCCGCAGACCTCTTCGCGTCGCCGCAAAATGCTCAGCTGCCTCAGTTCGGTGCTCGACTTGCTCCGAACACGGTACCGGGGTGTCTAGGAGACGCGTTCCTGCTGGACTGGTCGAAGCATCTGCTCTACCTCTTCCCGCCTTCCCGCTCATCCCGAGGGTGATCGAGAGGATCCAGTCGGCGCAAACGAACTGCATCTTGATAGCGCCGGAATGGCCACGACAACCGTGGTTCTCGGTCCTTCTCCAGTTATCCGAGGGACGGATGAGGCGCCTTCCACTTCGGCAGGATCTGCTCTCCCGGGAAGACGGTCAGCTTCTCCACCCCGACCTCGCTTCTCTGCATCTTTCGGCGTGGAGGATCCGGTGTTGAGATCCCTGTGTCCAGGGGTTCTCCCGATCTTAGAGGCAGCTCACAAGCCAGCAACCAAGAAGTGCTACTCAGCGTGCCTTAGCCGCTTCCAGGCCTTCCTCTCTGAGAAGGGCCTAGACGATCATCGACCGTCGGTACCGGCAATTCTCTCGTTCTTGCTGCACCTTACCGAGCGAGGCTTGTCGCTATCTTCGCTCAAGTCCCACTTGGCGGCCATATCGTGGCAGCTTCAACGGACGGGAGAAGCTTCCCTGTTTAGAGACAGCTCCGTGAGATCTTTCCTGCGAGGTTTCAACAACTTGCACCCCCCGGTCCGTTCCCCGACTCCGGGTTGGGACCTCGACCTCGTGCTGGCTCGGCTCACGCAACCGCCTTTCGAGCATTTGTCTTCGATTGAACTTCGGTTGTTGTCATGGAAGGTGGCCTTCCTGGTCGCCATCACCTCAGCCCGTCGGCCGTCGGAGCTGGCAGCATTGCGGGTGGACGAACCCTATTTTGTTGTCCACGAGGATAGAGCAGTTCTCCGCACAGATGTGACATTCCTCCCTAAGGTCGTGTCCCCCTTCCATGTCAATGAGGACATTGTTCTTCCCTCGTTGTGTCAGTCCCCCTCGACCCCGAGGGAGAGGAGACTTCATATGCTCGATGTGCGGAGAGCATTACTGTGTTATAAGGACAGGACTGCTCAGTCTCGTCGATCACAGAGACTTTTTGTTGCATACGCCCTCGATAAGGTGGGCCTGCCGATCACGGCGCAACGCTTGTCGCACTGGATCACTTCGACCATCGAGCTCTGTTACAGACTGGCTCGACAACAACCCCCCTCGGTCGTCCGGGCTCGGTCGACCAGGGCTATGGCGGCATCGACAGCTTTTCTTAAGGGGATTCCCCTGGACGCTATTTGCAAAGCGGCCATTTGGAAGAATCCTCAGACATTTGTGTCGCACTATAGACTGAATACCAGGTATACACCTGACATGGCCTTTGGGAGGGCAGTTCTGGGCTCATGCCCGCCTTGATTTTTGCAGAGTGCGTTATCGGTACCAAGTGTTCCTTCGATACCGTGTGTTACTGTGAATGTTATTACCATGTTAATACTTGAATCTTGTTACCAGTGAATATAATTGCACCTTTACACTTGATGCCTTACTGCCTGAGGCGCAGGCAACCATTGCACTATGGCCTAATGGGCTCATCACGGGTATTCTATGTCTTTATCGATGTCTTTGCCTTGCAAATGTGTTGTGCACTTGTTAGCAACTGTTTTTTGTATTACTGCTTAATGTGCCCTCATTATAATGAGTGTATTCGATAATCACCATGTGGTTTATTTCAAGGGTCATAGGTTTATTCAATTGTTGGTCACCGTCACGTGACCGGGAGGATCACGTACTCCCATAAGTTTTATGCACTGTGCCCTTCTTTGGAAGTGATTGCAACCTCTTGTTATGCACCATGCCCTTCTTCGGAAGTGATTACAATCTCTTGTTGAGAACTGTTTTTTGCACTTAATAAAATTGTTTGGCCCTTGACTTCAATGGTCGGTTTGCTTCCTTCCCGCCTCCGGGACCTGAGCTTGCTAGTCTCCACAAGTGTGCATTCGCAGAGACCACGAAGAAAAATGGTAGGTTACATACCTGTGACCATCTTTCTTCGAGTGGTGCTCTGCGAATTCACACTAACCCGCCCGGCCTCCCCTCTAGCAAACCTCCAATTTCTCGCTACCGTAGCGGCGTAGGAATTGGATCGGTGTGCGCGGGGCGCCCTTTTATGCCCTGCCGGGGCTGGGCGGGGTTACCGCCAAAACTTGAAAAGTTTTTGAAAAGTAGAAGTTTCCGTTGGAGCCCGCGCAGGCACAGTCTCTCCACAAGTGTGAATTCGCAGAGCACCACTCGAAGAAAGATGGTCACAGGTTTGTAACCTACCATTTTTAATGGCTGGCCAGAATGCTAAGATAACACACCAAACAGCTCTTTTCCTTCATAAAGCAACACAGCTGAGAACGGCGTATCTGGAGGCGATTGGGGTAAACTGTAGGGGTGGCGCAGATATTTGAAGTGGCTTGAGATTGTGTAATAGCTGGTCTATTTTAACTTTTGTTTTAACCTTCGTTTTTAATTTTTGTGATTTGAAATTTTACCTTGGCATTTTAATGATGATATTTTTAATTACCTTTTAACTTAATCAAGTTTTAATGTATGTTAGTTCACTATTACGGGAGTCTTAGGATAGTGATTAGTGTCTATTTGTGTACTTTTTTTGTTTTTGTCTTAAATGTTGATAAGGTCAGTGGACTAATCAATAAACTTTGCTTAAAAAGTCTGCTTTTAGGATTATATATATATATATATATATATATATATATATATATATAGTGTGTGTGTGTGTGTGTGTGTATCTATCTATGTATCTGTCTATATTCATTCATTCATTCATTCATTCATTCAGTCAAACCATGGGTGGTTAAATCTGAGGAGGCAGAAACCATAGATATGAACAGCCAAATGTAAAAATGCTCCCCAAAGAAGAAGACAAAGAATAGTAATAGTAATAATAACTTTATTTTTATGTCCTGCCACCATCTCCTGAAAGGGACTTGGAGCAGCTGACAAGCGGGATCAAGCCCAACACAACATAGTTTACGAACTAAAAACACATTAAAAAATAAACTTATAACAATCAAATTAAACAAATAAAAAACAACAGAGTAAAAAACAACATTAAAAAGCAGTGGCAGGAAGACCAGAATCTATGTCCCATTCCTAACACTAGATTGTGCAAGTGACAATGCCAGGATTCATCTCCAACGAGGCCCTGCTCTCGGTTCCGCCTCCTTTGCAGGCACAACTGGTGGGGATGAGACAGGGCCTTCTCAGTGGTGGCCCCTCGGCTGTGGAACTCACTCCCCAGTGACATTAGATCAGCCCCCTCCCTCCTGGCCTTCAGAAGGAAGGTGAAAACGTGGCTTTGGGATCAAGCCTTCAGAGAATAATTGTAGTGCACTAACAGATATGGAATATGTGCAATGAATTGAAGAATGGCCCCAGATTATGATTGTGGATGGCGTGATTTTAATAGTGATTGCAATGTTTAAATGTATTAATTTTAATTTTCAATTTAAATGTTTATTTTAATTGTATATCTCTTTTTAAGGCATTGAATGGTTTTCTATATGTAAGCTGCCTTGAGTCCCCTTCGGGGTTGAGAAAGGTGAGGAATAAATAGGGTAAATAAATAAATAATTGTGCCACCAGTAAAGTCTATGCATCATTAGACTTACCACAAGGATTGATGCTCCAAGTATTAGGGCTTTCATTTTAACATCAAGATCCAATGGGAACTCGATTTCAAAGTTGCTGGCTGATGTAGCCATCTCCCTTGCGTAGCCAGTCCACTGCTTAGTAATCCTTCCAATTGGTTTCTCATCTTGTGTATTCACCTATTTTTTTGAGAAATAATAAAAGATCAGATCTCATAGGCATAGTGTGTACACTAAATGAGGAATCCCTTCTGTCCCTAGAATTTCAAGAAAGGTTCAAGGCTATCTAATATCATTGAGTGCTTCTGCTGCCAGTCAGTGTTGATAATGTCAGGATTTGATTAAAATATGGAAGAACATACAGATGATAAATTGCTGAGTCAGGATGACAAAGCAAGTATCTGATGCAACCAGAAATGTGTGCATCCATCAGGTATTGAATAATGAAACCATAAATGTATCATTGCATCATGTGGATATGTATAAAAGCAGGACCGACACCATGTATTGATTGATGATCCTCCTGGATGGTGTTTGTCTGTGCATGCTGGAGAGAAGAGATCTGCATAAAGAAACTTGCTGCGGAAAAGGAGATGAGAAAGAAAGTGTACTAGTATAGAGTAGGCTTGGGCAATCCATGGTTCTAAATGGTTCTAAAGTACTTACAAAACTAAAGTTCTGGTGGTGAAAATTTCAGAACTCTAACAAACTTTCAAAATTTAATTATTATTTCATTATTGGTGATTTTAATGACAGAACCAATTAGGAACTGCCATTTATTATGAAATTTTGAGAGTTTTGTTAGAGTTCTGAAATTTTCACCACCAGAACTTTAGTTTTGTAAGTACTTTAGAACCATTTAGAACCATGGATTGCCAAGCCTAGTATATAGCTGTTTGTGTCTGCACTGCTGAATTTCATTATAAAAGCCTTTCTGATTTGGAATGTGATTTGCTGTCTGCTGTGTTTGCTGTTCCTTCAGGTTCTTCCTGAACATTTAGAGAACGTAGAGACTGCGTAGAAAGCTTCCTTGCACTCTGCACGTGCATCAGAGCCTGACAGATAATACTAAGATAAAGGAACCAACCATGTTGATTCAACATACAGAAGCTTCCTGTGTATACCACTATTGCTCAAATGTCAAATATACTTTTAAAAGTCAGAGTTTTGGAGCCAGCAAAGCCTTAGCAGTTACTCTACCAGTGACAATGCTAACATCTGTGACTTAAAAGCTGGAGGAGCATGTTGACCATGACAATGAGGGCAGCACTAGACCATTTACTATTTAAAAATGTTTAAAAGCCTCTCCTAATTATAGAAACATGGCACAGTGCCCCCTCTTTGGGAGCAGGTCTTATTATACGGGTTTCTGGAAAACATAAATGGCAGCAGGGGCAGGAAGATCCCTCAGAGAAGAATTCGCTTTTGCTTACATTGACATGAACATACTTCTAGCAGTTGCACTGTACACAAGTCCCTGCAATTATATATATATTTTTCCTGATATCATTTTGGATAGCAAATTTAGACAGAAAGGGGATCTACAAAACACACTGTATGCAGATATATATTATGTTACATACTGTATATCTTAAAATGTCTAGCTAATAAACAATAAAATATAACTTAAAAAAAAGAATTATCTTACCTCAAAATCAATATCTTTGAAAAAGCTGCATGGAGCACAAGGACCTGCCATTTTAAGTACATTTTCCCTGGCCTCATTTTGGAGAGCAAATCTAGGCAGACATGGATGCCAATTCTGCTTAATGTATCCAATGACTGTGCCGAGAGGGGCTTGAACTTCCAGCTTTAAAATAAACCATATAATTAGCACAATTACTTTGACAAGGTACACAAATAGGGATAAAGGAATTCACAAAATTGTATTGTAAAGATGAAAACATCTGAAAGGATCTGATCTGCCCTGTGGGTCCAGCAACTAAGTTAGGAAGGATGGGCTACATGTTGCAATAACACACACAAACAGCACAATAGTGTATTGTGCGTTGAATGCAATATTCCTGCTTCTTGGCATGGCCCATGAGATCTCTTCCAACTCTATGATTCTATTATTCTATGAGCAAGACCTATTATGTGGATCTCCTGCCACCTGAGAATGAAACTAGGCCAATCAGCCCTAAGCAGCCTACACTACCAAATTCCCACATGGGACTCCGCAAGTGGATCTAATGGTCTTCCAATTCTACTTTTCCCCCAAGTTGGGCCTGGTCTCATGCATAATTACAAAAAAAAAAAGATTTAATGGTTTTGGAACATGTCATACTGATCCACACACACAAAAACATATCCTACATAACAGTAAATAGGAGGGTGAGATGGGAAAGGTTGGAGCCTGAAAAAGACTCCAACAGCATAATTTCTTACTCCTTGAGTGGAGTTGAATAAAAACCTCAGGAACATTAAGAGGGACCACCCCCATCAACTAAGCTGCCATTCCATTGGAGGCAATTTTGCACCATACAAAGAAGCCCAAAACAGCTGACCAGACTTTCAAGATAACGCTACCAGGACCTGAATATGAATGCTCACTTCTCCAAACCCAGACTGCAATGTTGTTTCTCAGTGACTCTGGGAACTCTTTTTTATTGATGGTGAGTCTGGAATCATAAAAATATTTCCTACTCTGAAATAAGGAAAATATAAAATAATCTAAAATATATCTCCCTTATCCATGGATTTGGTATCAGTGGTTTCACACTCTCACACTCCAAAAAATATTGCCACTGCCTAAGTATAATCAAAATATACCATTTGCTATCCATGGTTTCAGACAATTGGAGTACATGAAATAAAATTCAGGGGAGTACAGAGTTATCACAGGCTTCAAATTCAAGGACTCCTTAGCAAGAAGTCGTGACATTTAAATTCTATGAAAAGGGTTGTGCAAATACAGCCATAAACTTTCATTGTATGACAAAGGAGGGAGAGTGTCTTACTATAATAGGTTCCAAACTACTTCTATGGCCAGAAGACTCTAGCAACAAAAACTATCTCAATAGTAATACTGACAACCAAGTTTTTATATATTGACAGAAAGTATTCCTCAGAAAGTATTCATTATCTTAAAAACAACTACTACTTCTTTAGATAAAACAAGCAAAGGATATCAAAGACAAGCTTTATACCTCCTGCAAGCAGCAAATACAAGGGAAGCAGCAAATGGAACACTTGCAGTCTCTTGACAACTGCATTACTGGTTGGTTTGAACCATCAAGGAACTTTATGACGAATGACCGCAATGACCCATGGCAGTTCAGAGTGTAGTCATCATTTTCTTCAACTGCCAAGTACATCCACTGCCCCATAGAGTTTTTGACTTCATATCGGTTGCAGGTTTCAAGGCGACTTATTACTGAAGAGGAAGATAGTTACATACAACTAGCTAGTTCTTCAAAATGCTTCTCATCAATGCTAATAATGTCAACTCAGATCAGAACTTCAAGCTTTAATCCCTAATCTGCCACTATTAATATTATGTAGGAGTATTCAGCTTCACCTTTAAAGATTGTGAAATACTCTATGTTTTCAATGGTATATGAAAACATATAGTTGTGTAAATGCCTACAGCATTATCTGCATTTTGAAGAACCCAGTTCATTAACCAGATAGCATAATCATTCAATATTTCTCTAACCAACACAACTATTTAGCATATATATAACAGAGAAGCAGAACAAATGCATACATTTTCTAGACATCATTTTTATAATAAAGTCTAACATTTGTATGGGCCTATGAACCACATACAGCCGGCCCTCCACATTAGCAGGTTTAACTTTTGTGGATTTGATTATTCCCTGATAAAAACACATGCTCTAGGAATCTATAGATCTTCCAGTATGACTCTATGGTCAACCTCCACCAAACCTAGAAATTTCTAGAGAGATTTTCTCAGTCAAAAATATAGTGTTGTTTTTTTTTCATGTCCCCCCCCCCCCCCCCCCTTTCATAGGGTCATGCATTCCTAACCCCAATGACTATGCAGGAAAGGAATATAGCATATAAAATATGAAGATACATACTTTCCAAAAGCTCAATCTGCTGTTGAACTGATATCCGATCAATCTGTTACAACAGTAATAAAAATAATTTTAGATGCTAAAATTGAAACAAATAATTACATTTAGATAATTATTTAATGTTTTGTGGTTCAATATTTTTTTCATAATGCACATGAACTAGAATAGTCTAGAAATTATATTCTTAACTGGATTTTACACTGGAATGCTACTGCCAGAAATGTCAGTGCCACTTAACTCATTATAACATAGTAGGCAGCCCTCCAATTATTCTTGAACTGCAATTCCCATCAACTCTTGCCAACATAGTCAAGGATTATGAACCACTGGAATCATGCCAAAAAAATCCTGTGGTAGTTCAACTTAAGAGTTGCTATAGATCAGAAATGACTTAAAGCGAAGTTTCTCAAACTCTGCTCTTCCAGGTTGTGCAGAAGTCATTGTTATTATGTTTGTGTTTAACTGTTAGAGTATGTATTTGTGTTTGTAACAGTAGCTAAAACTGGAGTCATCTGGTTTGAATCCACAGTGAGCGTTGCCAAGGAGACGAGGCTGGCTAGCTCATGAGAGGGAGAAGTGGGCGGAGCCAAGCAGGAAAAGTTATGTGCGTTTTTAAAAAAGCAGCAGAGAGAGGCTCAGCAGAGAGAGAGGCTTGGAAAGGCCTGAGAGAGAGGCTTGTGTGTGAGCGGCTGGTGTTTTTCAGTCTAGGAGGGCTGAAGAAAGAAACCTGGCCAGATTCTTTAGTCAAAGAAGACTAAAGGAAGCCTAGTTAAGATCCCTAGTTAAGGAAGGACTAGAGATCAGAGATTTGATCGAGGGAAGATCAAATTGAAATTTATAGTAGTGAAACATTGTTCACTAGAGAGCTTCACCTCAGTGAAAGTTAGCCACAAGCTGTGTTATCTGGAAGAGTGGACTGTATTATAAACCACGTGATATTCAAAGTTCCATAAGTTATTTAACAGCCTGCAACCATAAGCTTTGTACACAATAAACTTGTTATCTTTTGTTGAAAACCGTCTCATCTCAACTAATCTGCGTCTGTAGAGCCAGATCTCATCGGTGGTACCTCAAATACCTCACGTTGGTGGCAGTTACCTTAATTTACAAATAATAATTGGCCTCCTCCATAATATACTCTTCTACACAATTGAGGCCTGAGGTAAATTCCCTCCATAACATCCACATCTGTACAATTGGTGGCAGCGGTGGGGATCTTCAAAGATAAAATCCCTATACCCTGTCCATCGCTGTGTTCACATCTTCACACAGGTGTTTTGAACTTTTGAACTTTTTGAACTCCCAGAAATCCCAGCTAGCTTACCAGCTGTTAAGAATTGTGGGAGCTGAAGTCCAAAACATCTGGAGAAACACAGTTTGAGAAACACTGACTTAAAGACATACTAAGAACAACAACAAAGTATCTGCAGGTTCATGCATACACTATAATTTGTTGTTCTTGTGTAGCTTTGGGTCTAAAAATCAGATTTTCTTGACAAGAGCTATTCAAAAGAAGCTTGGTGCTCCCTTTCTTGTATACTAAGAGTGACTTGCCCAAGACTATCCAATAGGCTTGCCAGATCATGGTCCCAAGTCTCCACTCTTCATTAATCATCTTCAAGGCAGAAGATGAGGGTGGTAATTCTCCAGTTTTGTGGGTTTCCACTCCAGGTGAAAGGACAATTTAGCTGTTAGAGTTACAATACTTATTTTATTTGTTGCTGTAATAGACTCTCCAGGGAGTCTAGGTTTGTACTCAGCTTCTTCCTTCTCCCATGGTCACTGTGGTGCCAGGTCTTGGGTCTGCCTTCCTGTTGCTGTTGTATGCCTTGGGAAACCCTAAAGTGGCCCTATCTTAACTTTTTCTAAGGTACAGGTGGTTGACTCACCCAAGGTCAACCAGTGGCTTCTCACTACACCATGCTGGCTCTTTGTCTCCCCATCCCTACTAAACATTCCCAAATAGGCGAGAAACAATAATTCCTTCTCTTTATATAAAAACATCTGTCTTAATTTCCGAACACAAAACTATGTTCCTTTCCCCACTCTCTGGTTGAATGACAAGCAAACTTGAACCCTGGTGTTGTGACTCAGCTGGAATCACAGAGTGATGGTATCAATTATTCTGATGGGAATAATCAGATGGGAAGCAAGGATGTTCCTGTGTTAGACGAGGAAGACCAGGATCAGGGGGCAGAAGTTCAGTTGTTTCCCACAGCAAGGGTTGACACTGGGGAAAGTGAAACTACTGAGACTGAGAGCCAGGTGCCTGATGAAGGAAGAGAGGATGTAGGAACTGAGGTTAGTTCTCAGCCAGCTAACAAGGGATTTGATCTCGATGGGGGCGGTGATTTAGATAGGGCTGATCACTTGGAATTGAAAGTGCGAAGGAGTGTCAGGATCGCCAGGAGGTGAGAGAGAGAGGCTTGAGGCCATAGGAACACCTTCATGCTGGCCCAAGAGTATTAAACAGACTGAATGTGCCTCAGTGTCAGAGCAACTTCATGCTTTAACCAAGAGACTTTGAGCTTTATCTTGTAGCTTTTCATGTTCATGTTTTAGGACTTTGTCATGCACTTAAGGGACTTTGCCTTGCCTGTGTCTTCATGGATCTTGTTTGCCTATGTTACCTTGGATTGATCTTTTGAAATATACTTTTGCTTTTTGAACTTTTTATCTTTTATTTTAAATAAAACTATAAAGATAACTGCTGGTGTGTTCTTTGGTGTCTTAAGCAAGGTGGTTCTACTCTGAGGTGTGACACCTGGCATCCTAAAGTCCTTATAGAATACTCAAACTGCTACACCGGCTCTAATAGTGATTACCATAAAGAAAACCATGTTATACACAAAAAGGAGAGAATATCAAACAATCTGATAACCTGTTATCTATGCTATTTCATTAAGTCTGTAGCCAAAAAGTGATTCTATACATCAATTTAATCATTTTTCAGTGAGAGCTTCAGGAACGAACAAAGATATAAACATTTACCTGACCACAGTTGGTTCATGGGAGGTAACTTCTTTGCTGTTTCCACCTCTAAAATATTGACTTGATTTTTATATTGAGCCTATACACACGTTGTTGTGGTTGTGGGGTCAATAGCTGTCAAGTCAACTTACAGCAATCCCATGAACAAGACACATCCAAGTCACACTTTCATCAGTAGCCTTGCTCAGGTCTTACAGACTTGGGGAAAAGTCTCATTGCATTCAATACAACTTTATTCTGATTAGATTTGTATAGAGTTACACTGCATATTCTTTCTATATTTCTTTATCCAAGAAGAAAAAGACACAAAAAAAGAAGATACCTGAGTTAAATATTCCAAGCCAGGAGGGCATTTGGGAGGTATAGGTGGAGCTGGCATCCAAGTTATAGCTGGAGCAGCAGTAGGCTGATTTTGATATGGAATGGCTCCATATGCTACTGGGGCGCCTTGGAAAGTTGTAATGCTTTGTGCTATCCAGAGGAGAAGGACAAGGGGAGAGAGAGAACACACAACAAATGTGAGGAAGTGATTCTGATATATATGACCAAGGAATTATTACAGAACACAGCTAACTGGGGGTCTTATTAAGGTCTGTTTTATAGTTTAAGGTCAACACTTCACCGTGTATCTCTACCCTGTCACTTCACTGTAAGCTTTAGATAAGAACATATAAAGTACTGTACTGATACAATCTAGAGCAACTATTCCCTACACTGAAAAAATGGCTGGGGATGAGAAAGACTTTTTTTGCAGGAAGAAACACTGAACAGCAAGGATGAGACACCTGAATAGTAATTTCATGTCTTCCAGGGATTCCATGTCATCCTTACAACAAATCTATAAGGATATTCAGTACTCCTATTTTCCCAGAGTGCAGATGGGAAGAATAAAGCTGAAAGGTACTTGTTGAAAGCCTTCCAAATTCCTGATGTGTAGCTCAGAGTCAATAACTGTACTACTTCATCTTTATAAGAAGTGTCATTTCAGTATGCAAAGGGATCTTGCAGCACCTTAGAGACTAACTAAGAAAGAAGTTGGTAGCATACGTTTTCATAAACTCAATCTACTTCCTCAGATGCATTTAGAAAAGTGTATGATACCAACTTCATTCTATCTGTTAGCCTCTAAAGTGCTGCCAAATCTCTTTGCATATTGAATACAAAGATGTTTTTGAATTCACTATTCTTCTGTTACAGAACAGGAAGTAAAAGTGATCAGAAGAGCCAAATTAATGTTAGATGATATTCTTATGAAGCAGGGGGCAGAGTCTAGTGGCTTCGATCAGAAGAATGGTCTCAATCTTTACTTGTGACTTCAATCCCAAATACTTGCTCTCAAAGACTGGAAAGCCCTCCAGAGATGATTTCCAAGAGGTGCTCCATTTTAGAGTCTAGGCTTATGTCTTATACTGGTAAGGAATTTAGTATTTTACATAACACTATCTTAATCACCTACCTTACACACACACACCCATATATATCAAATATAATATATTTAGATTATAATATATTCAAATTAGAATATGCTAAATGTCTAACAGTAACCCATGGAGGAAACCATACTTTTCCACAGCCATCTCCATATATTAATTTATATTTCTAAAGTGCAGACATTATAGTACAGTGCAGTAACCTACAGCCTATCAACCTACAGCCTATCATATATTATCATGTATGGTACTTATATCCAGGCTTTAAGAATACACCATTCATTTTCTTAAATTTTGTTGTTCTGATTGGTTCATAATGAAGAAACATAGTTGAAGGACTATGCTGTCAAATGTCCATGTGGTATACTTTGGTTTCAGTTTTGTTTAACTACAACATGTCTATAAAAACTATATGCTTTAGTGGCAATTTGAGCAGCATTAAAGAACAGACAATTGTGTGAGATTATGGAATCTACAGTTCAACAATATCTTGAGGACAAGGGTTGTCTATCTTTGGTTTAGGTAATGAGGATTTTGCTTTAAGAATATGGATTTACTTAATGTGTATTTAAGCAAGCTAGCATTTTTCAGTTTCATTCATGTATTTCTAGAACTGTTGCAAGGTTGATATCGGGCTTGAAGAGTTGACCGGATAAAATGTAACATAAATGTTTTACATGTACATATAGAAAGAAGCCCCTTTTCTGAACATTTGTGCACATTATTTCTGTATTTCAAACTACCCCATTAAATTTGCAGAAGATTTAAAGCAAATGCAGAAAAGGAGAAACAATAGGCCCATTTCAGCCTACACACACACACACACACACACACAGACAACCACACAAACATTTACAAAGTTCTAGTATTTCAAGAAAGGCTGAAAGATCCACTAGAGGGCATATATATAAAACTATAGCTCAGAAAACCCTGCAAAAATAAAGTAATGGATTTTATTCTGTTATGCAGCAGATGTGTATGTTATAAAAACATGAGCTACTGTTTGTACAAAATCTATATAAATAAAAATGTAATGTTCATTTGGGGGATTAACATAACTCAAAAACCACTGGACTAATTGATACCACATTTGGACACAGTACACGTATCAGGCCAACGAGTGACCAACATTCATAAAAAGACTGAAAAACACAGCAAAAGTTACTTAAAAGCCAAAAAAACCCCTACATTACAATGCATGCACAAAACCACACACACATATAAACAAATATATACACACATATACACACATGAAGCACATATACACAGACTGAGCTACAGCAACGCGTGGCAGGGGATGGCTAATCACTCATAAAAAGACTGACAAACACAGCAGAAGAGACTTAAAAAGCCAAAAAACAAAAATTATAATGCTTGTACAAAACCATATATATGTGTGTGTGTGTGTGTGTGTGTGTGTGTGTGTATACACACACACACACACACACACACACATGCACACAAACGTACATAAACAGACTGGGGCCACAGTAATGCATGGCAGGGGCTGGCTAGGGTGAAATAAATGTTGTGGAAATGAAATAAATGTTGCTGGAAATTTCTGTTTATCAGTCCCAGATAGGCTTGAGCACGGATCTGTTTTTAGCTGTTTCCTTCAGCCAATCTGGCTTCTTCAGTTCATTTGGGTGCCCATAGCGGCAAGGCCCAGCCATCACGGATTCCCGTTCATAACAGGATCATATGGCAGCCAAACTCAGCTCCTCCTCCCCTATTTTCCTTTATTTTCTTGATTCTTTTTATTTAGTGGGACTGACTGGGAGTTGGGGTCATGCAGGACAGGTGGGTGAGGTGCACGTGTGCATTTGGGGGCTTGTAAGAGTCACCCTTTTAACTTTTTTCTCCTTTCCTTCCTCTCCTTCAAATACTTCTAAATGATAGTAATAATTATTAATCCCTGCAAACAAAAAGGAAACCCTCATTATTTGAAAACTATTATCTTCTAGTTACCTCTCCTCTAGTGTAGAAAGTAGAAACAGCTTTAAGGAAGCATTAAACCCGAAGCAGAAATCAGAAAGGAGATTGAAGCCTGCAGTAGAGAAAAGGGAGTGGTTTTTAAAGGAAGCTCAGGGAGGACAGCTCCAGGTTGTTGCTCTTCCTTCCCTGGTCTTTCTTACAATGCCTTGGAAAGCTGTGTGGCATGTTGCAGGAAAAGAAAGTGTGCACACCTGCAGTGCCTCTCCTCTAAAGTAGAAAAAACTTTAAGAAATATTAAACCCGGTCATCAGAAGAGAAAGGATTGCAGAAAGAGTGGTATCTTAACTCTGATGCTTTTAATCCAGGTCTTAATGAAGGATATGGAAGAGGAGTCTGTGGGAATTCCCCCCATAATGGGCTGGATAGGAAAATTCCTTAACCCTGTTGCTGATACCCAGGCTCCCTCGAAGGAAAAAAGGAAAGGCTCCCAGGAAGGGTGCTTCTTTAACCTTGTTGCTGATACCCAGACCCCCTTGAAGTGAAAAAGGAAAGGCTCCTAAGAAGGGTGCTTCCTTAACCACATTGCTGAAACCCAGGCTCCCTTGAAGGGAAAAAAGGAAAGGGTCCCAGGAATGGAAAGCCTTGTAAGTTCCCCATTGCCACCAATGTAGCTGTATTTTTTGGCTAAGGACTGAAAACAGCTATCTGGCTACCCATCCATTTTTAGGGTCCACTGGTATCCTGCCTGCAGGAATGAACTGAGGTTCAGCCAAAATGCACAAGCCTAGTCCCAGATCCTCATAAATCTGTGCTTCTCTTATTAAATTAGAAATCCTATATATCCCCCTCCTTCCAACTGCCTACCTGGAATAGCAGATCCTGATATATATGAAGTTACATTAGATGAATACAGTGGAAATCCTGGTTGGTTTGGGGGAGTTGGATACGATGATGCCGGTGGAAATCCCTGTTGGTTAGGGGGAGCTGGATATGGTGGCGCTGGTCCTGAATATGCTGGAGGTGGTGGTTCAGGTGCAGATTTGTTGGCTGAAAGAATAGAAGAATGATGTATTATCCTTAAACATCAGGTGTCCCCTTAAGGTTAAATAAAACATTTGCCATAACTAGAATAGACCCACTGAAATGGATGGAACTCAAAAGTCATTCTGTGCATATGGGGATGTTCTGAGTTATGTGGATAGCCATTTTCAGTGTAGATGTATACCACCAAATCTTAATTCTGTGCTACTTGATCAGTTAAAAGAGTTCAGCATTAGTGACACTGGAATTAACACATATTTCATACACTTAGCTCACTGATCAGAAGTATTAAAAAGGGAGTCCAGACAAGCCATTGATTTTAATTCTAGGAGATGATTTCACACTGTTCCTCTCTTTCTACTACCCCTACAAATACTATGAGTAACAAACTAGGGAAGTCCAACTTGGCGACACACCAATTTGAGATTATGTTAACTGTAGCCCAAGGCAACTGGAGATTACTGGGTTAGGCAAAAGTATAATTCCTGGTATAATGCAATCCCGCTCATGTTTATTTTAATGGGAGTACTACTGAGTTTGATGGTGCGAATCTAAGATAAGGGTGCATAGCACTGCAGTGTTAGGATATAAATAAATGGATAGAAAAATAGCAATAAAAAGAAAGCAAAGGGTAAGCAGGCTAATTGATTGAAGAACCCTATTGGACAGGGACCTGGGACATCTGTCACCAAGAAAAATTGTCTTAGTATGTGTCACTCTATTAAGTCGATCTCTACAATTTTGTGATGTTCAGATGGGCTTTATCATACTGTGCCAGGAACTGGGAAAGTGTAGCTTTTCATATGCCGCTGGACCACAGCTTCAGAGGGTTCTCACCATTGACTGTGCCCTCAAGCAATAATGGAAATCATACTCTTAACACCATCAGGAGAGACACAGACATATATAACTGCTGCTTCTACAGGGAAGACTAGAGGAACTACTGCTGCTCCTTGTTGTTGTTGTTGATGCCTTCAAGTCATTTCTGTCTGGTGAGCTTTAGGAGAGTCTATCATGGGGTTTTCTGAGGCTAGGAGGGTGTGACTCATCCAAGGTTTCTATGACTAAGTGAAGAATTAAACTTTGTTCTCCAGAATCCAATGCTCAAATTGTTACAGCCATGTTGACTCTTGAGACTAAAGCTAAGCACCTTTTTGGGTTGTTGTAGGTTTTTCGGGCTATATGGCCATGTTCTAGAAGCATTCCTTCCTGACGTTTCACCTGCATCTTATGGCAAGCATCCTCAGAGGTTGTGAGGTCCATGTTCTAGAAGCATTCTCTCCTGACATTTCACCTGCATCTATGGCAAGCATCCTCAGAGGATGTGAGGACCTCACAACCTCTGAGGATGCTTGCCATAGATGCAGGCAAAACATCAGGAGGGAATGCTTCTAGAACATGGCCATGTAGCCTGAAAAACCTACAACAACCCAATTATTCCAGCCATGAAAGCCTTCGACAATAAGCACCTTTTTGTTTCAGACGAACAATAAAGCCAAAGTAAGTTGGACAAGCAAGAAATCCTTTACCGATGATCCCTGGGGAAACAATGTATACAACTGATACAGAAAAATATAATGTTACTCACAATCCATTTTCTTTGTCTTATTTTCTCTTGTTTCTGAAAATAAAAATAAAAATATGTATTTATTTATTCATCTAGTCCAGTAGTTCTTAACCAGGGGTTTTGGTCTACAGCTCCCAGAAATCCCAGCAAGTTTACCAGCTGTCAGGATTTCTGGGAATTGAAGGCCAAAACATCTGGAGACTCACAGGTTGAAAACCACTGATCTATATTAATGTATACATCAGTTACAAAACATGTTTACCAATGTGGTGAACAGTACAGAAGTACAATAAAATGCAGTATAAAACAGTGGAGCCCCCGGTGGTGCAGTGGGTTAAACCCCTGTGCCGGCAGGACTGAAGACCGACAGGTCGCAGGTTCGAATCTGGGGAGAGGCGGATGAGCTCCCTCTATCAGCTCCAGCTCCTCATGCGGGGACATGAGAGAAGCCTCCCACAAGGATGATAAAACATCAAATCATCCAGGCGTCCCCTGGGCAACGTCCTTGCAGACGGCCAATTCTCTCACACCAGAAGCGACCTGCAGTTTCTCAGGTCGCTCCTGACATGACAAAAAAAAGTATAAAACAGTAAAAAAAAACTACATATAAAAGAGGAACCAGCAACATATTGAGCAACAACAATAGTATGTTATAAACTGGATTATAAATATGTGCCTAAAATACCAAATTTGGGTACACACCTTAATTTTAGTTACATCTTCTAGTGTTTTTCTAGTTAAGTTCAGGGAGCTTGTGGAACAAGAAAAGGATATCCCAACAAGCTAAGTAGATAAGTGGCAAAGAAAAAAATGAGGTAAATATAGTCTTCAGACATTAAAGATCTTGTGTTCCAGTACTGAAATCTTAAACTTTGTTTATTAGAATATATGTTACAATTTGGTCATGTTTTCTGTGAATGATCCCAAATTTTTCCATCTCCTCTATGAAGTCTCTGACAAAAAGTTTAAAAAGTTGGAATTGTCCGAGCACGTAACTGTTTGTTTGCTAAACTTCCCTCTGAAGATTTTATTCCACTGGTTGTATTGAATTTGCAGCCCATCAGAGGGCCAATGACATTTTAATCTGCACACAAAAGGACTACATCCAGGGCACTCCTGTTTCTGAATTGCATGTCACCAACATGGAGTGATTTGCTTTTGAAACATGTGTTCCCAGAGGTTCCAAGGCACTTTGGTCCATTATTGTAAATCAAACAAATGTGTTTGATTCAGTACAGTACAGTATCACATGCATCTCCCTTGCAAAGAAGCCAAGGTTTGATTTTAAAGCAGACAAGCCAAGGGACATCTTGTTTCTGAGAACAAAGATTTGAAAAATTGGACTATTACCATTATACTTTGAGAAACATGCCTTTTTTAAGAAGTCCATTAAGATAAAGTGGTTGAAAACAACGGTACTGACCATCATTCTACACTGTTGGCTCAGAAAAGGGACATAAAATATATTGCCTGTATTTGGTAGAAGATGTAGCACTGACTGAACTGTAGCCATTGAGCCTGACATTGCCAGACTCAGGCTCCTTCCAGACAGCTGAATAAAATCCCACATTTTCTGCTTTGAACTGGAATATATGGCAGTGTGGACTCAGATAACCCAGGTCAAAGCAGATTTCCCACCTTGATATTCTGGGTTATATGGCTGTGTGGAAGGGCCCCCAGGTCAAAGCAGATATTGTAGGATTTTCTACCTTGATATTTCATTATATGGCTGTCTGGAAGGCCCCTGGGTCCCCTTCTGCACTGCTATACAAAATCCAGATTATCTGCTTTGAACTGGATTATATGGCAGTGTAAACTCATATAATCCAGTTCAAAGCAGATAATGTGGATTATCTGATTTGATGATCTGTATTATATGGCAGTGTAGAAGGGGCTCTAGGGACTACAAAAACAACCATTTATGAGAACAAGCCTCTGAATTTGGGGCCCTTCTACACTGCCATATAATCCAGATTATCAAAACAGATAATCTACATTATCTGCTTTAAAGTGAATTATATGGTCTATACTGCCATATAATTCAGTTCAAAGCAGATAATTGGGATTTTATATGGCAGTGTAGAAGTCGCCCGAGAAGCATAAACATTATACCGGAACCAAGTGTGAAGTATCATTTCACCAGTTTATTTCCATGTAATTGAAATAAATGTTCCTGTAAATAGAGGGAAGGGGGTGTTCGCATTTTCATTGACTATGTTTAATTGAATAATCACTTTTGCAACTCTCTTGCCACCCACATCAAAAAATTTCACTGTTTGGCATTTTTCAACAATAGAAGCAGAAACTGGTAAGTGATATGACAGATAACAAGAAGAGGAGAAAGAGGCCTCTTTTACACTGCCATCTAAAATCCAGATCATCTGCTTTGATTGTCTGCTTTGATAATCTGGATTGTATGGCAGTGTAGAAGGGGCCAGAGAAAACAGGAGCAGGAACAGTGCATTGCTAATTTCACGGCTGTCAGGATGTGTCTGTTCAAGCATAAATCAACAAAGCTGCCCGTCCACTCCATGACAGTTTGGAAGTGAATTACTGGAGGCCAATAAGGGCCATCTGGACAAAGTGGGGGGGGGGGGGGGACCTGGGAGATGCTGCATGTTCTGTGGGAATGGAATGTAACTGTTAGGATAGATAAGAAAGAGGGGTTATGGGGTGGATAGGTGAAATACCACAGCTTTGGCGGGAAACAGTTAGAACTAGCTTTTACTTTGCTTTGGTGAGATCGAATAATAAATGTATGTCCAAAGAACCTTCCTTGTGAACTTGTTTTTATTCTAAAATCTGCCAAGTGCTGAAAATGGCAACGTTGTTATTGACTGCTATCAAGTTGGCTTCCCAGATCCAGTTGTTGTTTTAATTCAGATAATTATTTAGATACATTCCAGATTATGAAAAGAGGCAACTACACTGTAGAACAGGCATGGGCAAACTTGAGCCCTTCAGGTGTTTTGGATTTTAACGCCACAATTCCTAACAGCCTACTGGTTATTCAAAATACCTGGAGGGCCCAAGTTTGCCCATGCCTGCTGTAGAATGAATGCCTTTTGGAAAAGGCTGTAGCCAAGGGGTGGGAGGGGTTCAACCCCCCTCCCCTTGAAAATTTTACTCATGAATTTTAACTGGTTAACCAAATCCCCATGCTAAGTCTACGAGAAGCAATAATTAAATGAGTCCCTCCAGAACTGCAAGCACCATCTCAAGCAAATTTTGGCAATTTAATCACACTGTCATTACTTGCAACAATAGCCAATATAGTGGAAGCAACCAAGTTGGCCCACCCATAACTGGCAGGAAATGCCTAAGGCACCCGGGGGAGGGGGGGGGTATTTGAAGGCTCTCATGAAGGAGACCAGCCTTGGTGGGGGTGGTTGATAGGCTGCTCTGCCCCCTGCTGTGCTCTTTGCTTCAGCATGAGGTAGAAGGCAAGTTCGTAATGGGAAATTAGACCTTTCCCTCTCCCCCCCTTTTCCAAATAGTAGGGTTTCCATTAATTTTTTTCATGCCAGGAGCGACTTGAGAAACTCCAAGTTGCTTCTGGTGTGAGAGAATTGGCTGTCTGCAATGATGTTGTCCAGGGGACACTCAGATATTTTGATGTTTTACCATCCTTGTGGGAGGCTTCTCTCATGTCCCTGCATGGGGAGCTGGAACTGACAGAAGGAGCTGGAACTGACAGAAGGAACCCTTGAGGGGGCATGAGAGGGGTTTCAGAGGGGTTGCCAAAGACCATCAGAAAATACATATTTCTGATGGTCTTAGGAACCCGTTTGGCAGAAAAGGTTGAAGATCTCTCCAGTGTCCTTCTCTTTCTTTTTGGTGTTGATGAACTACAACTCTCAGAATTCAAAAACAGACTCCCCCCAACCCCACCAGTATTCAGTTTTGGCCATGTAGGTAGTGTGCCAAGTTTGGTGCAGATTTATTGTGGGCTGGGTTCAGAGTGCTCTTTGATTGTAGGTGAACTATTAATCCCAGCAACTACAACTCCCAAATGTCAAGGTATATTTTCCTTAAACTCCACCAGTGTTCACATTTGGGCAAATTGAGTATTGAAAGAATGTCACAGTCCAAAGATTATGGATAGGGAGACAAATATCTTGATATATGCAGATGACATAGTATTGTTATCCACCACCCCAGTCGGGTTAAGGAGGTCCCTGCAAAAACTTAGCCAATATTGTACTGAAAATGCCCTCACTATAAGTAAAGAAAAATCCAAAATAATGGTTTTTGGTAAGAAAGCTAAGGCTTCCAACTGGCACCTTGACGGGCACAAAGTGGAGCAAGTGAGGACATTTAAATACTTAGGTCTTCATTTTGCGGCATCAGGGGCATGGACCCAACATCTAAAATTAAGTATTGCAAAAGCTGATAATGCTGCACAGGCAATTCATAAATTATGCAACCACAATTACCCGGGCTCTCTGCGCCCCTTTCTGAAGGTTCTTAAGGCAAAGGTGTTCCCCATCGCTTTGTATGGAGCTGAAATATGGGGTGAGCAAGACCCTTTATTGGTAGAGAGATTCCAACTGCGCCACCTGAAAATTGGCTTAGGTGTGGAGAGATCATCCCTGTCAGCTGCAGTGAGAGCAGAGACGGGAGTACCCCCAATCTCCACCACAATTCTGAAGAGGCAGATCAATTGGTGGTACAAAATAAGACAAATGCAACCACACAGACTCCCAGCCCTATGCCTTCTAGAACAAGAAAACCACAAAGAGTGGTCATCTTGGCTTAGCAGATTTGGCCACACAGTTAGTAGGTTAGGTTTTGCCCCCCACGAGTTAACAAATTTTGGGGCAAATGTATGCTCAATTGTATACCAAAGAGCTCTCGACATTGCTGCACAAAATGATCTAATGAACATAGCGCAAGCTAGAGCCACTCCATACCTGGCCAAATTTAAATGTAATGTGGGCATGGAACATTACCTCTCTTTTATACTTCCACTTTATATTAGAAATTTTTTTACCCGGGCTAGATTTGAGCAGCTCGACATTAAGTCCAAGTTGGGACGACATCAGAATATTCCCTACACGAGGAGAACCTGTGGCTGCCGTGAGGTAGATGCAGAAGTGGAGGACTCAGAACATTTTTTCTTAAAATGTCCCTACTACAACAGGATCCGGTCTTACTACCTAGAGCCTCTGCTGGAGAATCATACTTATTCAGAGAATAAGGAGAAATTGCACATCCTCCTTCAGGGTTCAGATAAAAACTCTATTTTAAAATTGACCCTTTTTATCCAAAAAGCGCTGGCCATCCATGAGAAGATGGAAGCAGAGAGAGGCGACCTTGCCGCCATCAACAAAACTCAAACTTAAAAACTTAATATGGACACGCCACTAGTTTTACCTACCCATGCCCCCCACTCTAACCCTATTTTAAGGAATTAAACAATTTTAATCTTTTAACCTTTTTATCTCGTAGTTGCTCAATTATTTAGGAGTGGGTTGACAGGCCAGTAGGCCATGATGCCTCGTATTCATATATGGTTTTACTGTATGTGTATGTTTTGTATGTTTTGATATGGTCAAAATTGACTAATCAATAAAGAATTGTATTGTATTGTGAGTATTTGTGCCAAGTTTGGTCCAAATCCAAACTTGGCACAAATACTCAATATTTGAGCCAAAACTCTTCCAAAATTTTCTGTTGGTCATTGGCATTCTGGGAGCCACGTTTGGTTTAATTCCATCGTTGGTGAAGGTTGGTCATGGGAGTTCTGTGTGCCAAGTTTGGTTCAATTCGATCGTTGGTGGAATTCAGAATGCTCTTTGATTGTAGGTGAACTATAAATCCCAGCAACTAACTCCCAAATGACAAAATCAATCCCTCCAGAACCCCATCAGCATTCAAATTTGGGCGTATTGGGTATTTGTACCAAATTTGGTCCAGGGAATGAAAATACATTCTGCATATCAGAAATTAACATGACGATTCATAACAGTAGCAAATTTACAGTTATGAAGCAGCAACAAAACTACTGTTATGGTTGGGGGTCACCACAACATGAGGAACTGTATTACAGGGTCGCAGCATCAGGAAGCCCTGAGTCCCCTCCGGGCTAAGAGGGGTGGTATATAAATGTAGCAAATAAGGTTGAGAACCACTGGTTTAGGGCTTTATTGTATAGACTAAAGCCAGCACTTTAAATAATGCTTGGTAGCAGATTGGTAGAATGCCTTCTGGCGCCAGTTCAACTGCTCAATATTATGGAGTACCATAACATTTCTGCCACCTTGGCAGCCACCTCTTCACAAGAGTCAACATTGACACTGAAATATAACATCACCTGAGCTCTGCAAGTGCAGCATTTTTCCAAATGAAGCAAAGAGTGTTTGAGCACTGGGATATCCACAGGGATACCAAGGTGCTTGTTTATAAAGCCATTGTCCTCCAAACCCTGCTGAACACCTGTGAAACGTGAACTGTCTACACACATCATACACAACTGCTGGAACAATTTCATCAGCGCTGCCTCCAAAAAATCCTGCAACTCTCTTGGGAAGGCAGGCAGAAAATGTGCTGGAAGAAGCAAAGACCACTAGCACTGAAGCGATGCTCTTCTGCCATCAACTTTGTTGGACAGGCCACACTGTCTGAATGCCCGATCATTGTCTCCCAAAGCAGTTACTCTACTCTGAACTCAAGAACAGGAAACAGAATGTCGGTGGATAGGAAAAGGGATTTAAAGATGGGCTTACAGCCAACCTCAAAAACGGTGGCATTGACACCAAGACGTGGGAAGCCTTGGCTCTTGAGCACTCTAACTGGAGGTCAGCTGTGACCAGCAGTGCTTCAGAACTTGAAGAGGCACAAATGGAGGGCAAAAGGGAGAACCGTGCCAAGAGGAAGGCATGTCAAGCCAAGATTGACTGGTTTCCTTCCGTCTGGAAACCGATGTCCTCACTGCGGGAGAACATGCAGATCAAGAATAGTGCTCCACAGCGACCTACGGACACACTGCCAGAACACCATATCTGGAAGACAATCATCCTTGAGCTATGAGGGATTGCCTAAGTAAGTAAAGTACTATGGAATCATAGGTCATGTAGTTTTACAAGGCCTTTCCTCTACTCTGACATAGGGAGTGTCTGCATCAACAAACTACAGTTACCAGGACCCTGCTGCATCAAGCCAAGGCATGGACAGTGGTGTCAAATTGCATACATTCTCCAGGGTCTCTCCTTCCCACCAGGCGGGGTCTACAACCCTTTTAATCCAGGAAAGAAACACAAGTCGAGGTGGAGGGGCGGGGGAGTGATGTTAACCCTATATTGGCAGCTTTTCTTCTTTGTCCTGTCTGGAGCGACTTGAGAAACTGTAAGTCGCTTCTGGTCTGAGAGAATTGGCCGTCTACAAGGACGTTACCCAGGAGATGCTCGGATGTTTTGATGTTTTTACCATCCTTGTAGGAGGCTTCTCTCATCTCTCCGCATGAGGAGCTGGAGCTGATAGAGGGAGCTCATCCGCGCTCTCCCCGAATTCGAACCTGCGACCTGTTGGTCTTCAGTCCTGCCGGCACAGGAGTCTAACCCACTGCGCCACCGGGGGCTCCACGGTGGCAGTAATGCCCCGATTGAGTAGCTTCCCTCGGCGAAACTAGCTAGAAAGAAATTTAGGATCAAACCCGCGGGAGAGGTTTCCTGAGGAGTCATAGGATCCGAGAGTGGGAGAAGGCCCAAAGGGGCAGCCAGCCAGCCCAGCCCCTGGCCAGGAAAGAACACACCGCCATGCCAATGTTGCTTTAAAACCTCCAGAGGAGGGCCCGCCCCCCTGCCAAACAACTCTCACCGTCAAGAAGCTTTTCCTAATGTCCAGTTCTGCCAGTTGTAGTTTGCCCGTTCCCTCCCCGGTGTCGGAAAGAAGCACCTCCGCAGCCCCCAAGGCTCGCCTTGCATGCTCAGCCTCCCTTCGGGCGGGGGATAAGGAGCCTCCCAGGCGAAGGGCGGCGGACGAGGGCAAGAGGCGGGGCGCGAAGGCAGCACGAAAGAGGCCTGGAGGGGGAGAGAGAAGCCGGAGGCGCCCCTCCAAGACCTGGGAGCCTCGCCTTCTCTGCCCAAGGGGCCATTTCTGGTGTGCCATTAAACCACAACACCCACGATTCTGGTGGCGCCAAACTGCAATGTTCTGTAGCGTCGAATTTCGCACAGGGGTGAAATCCCACCCAGAAAATTACTTTGGAGGAAACAGGCTGGGTTCCCAAGTTATAATGAAGAAGAAAGGGGTCACCAAAGACCCTCAGAAAACACATATTTCTGATGGTCTTAGGAATACCTTTGGCATAGTCGTTTGGGTTCACAGTGCTCTCTGGATGTAGGTGAATTACAACTCCCCCAAAACATTGTCAATTCCCCCAAATCTATCCCGTATTTTCTGTTAGTCATGGGGGTCTCTGTGTGGGAAGTTTGACCCGATTCTACCCTTGGTGGGGTTCAGAATGCTCTTTGATTGTAGGTGAACTATAAATCCCAGCAACTAACTACGACTCCCAAATGTCAAGGTTTTCCCCAAACTCCACCAGTGTTCACATTTGGGCATATTGTGTATGTTCAGATCTATCATTGTTTGACTCCACAGTGCTCTCTGGATGTAGGTGAACTACATCTCTCAAACTCAAGGTCAATGCTCACCAAACCCTTCCAGTATTTTCTGTTGGTCATGGGAGTTCTGTATGCCAAGTTTCCTTCAATTCCATCATTGGTGGAGTTCAGAATGCTCTTTGATTGTAGGTGAACTAGAAATCCCAGCAACAACAGCTCCCAAATGATAAAATCAATCTCTCCCAAGCCCACCAGTATTCAAATTTGGGCGTATCGGGGATTTGTGCCAAATTTGGCCCAGTGAATGAAACTTCATCCTGCATAACGGATATTTACATTACAATTCATAACAACAGCAAAATTATAGTTATGAAGTAGCAATGAAAATAATTTTATGTTTGGGGGTCACCACAACATAAGGAGTCGTGGCATTAGGAAGGTTGAGAACTACTGCAATATGTGGATAGAGTTCCTGTTTAGAGACTTACAATGGGACAGAATAGTTTCCTGTAGCAACTTGGAAATTTGACAACTTTCGTTTCTGTAGACCGGTGGTTCCCAACCACCTTCTTCTTCTTCTTCTTCTTCTTCTTCTTCTTCTTCTTCTTCTTCTTCTTCTTCTTCTTCTTCTTCTTCTTCTTCTTCTTCTTCTTCTTCTTCTTTTTCTTTGACCAGGGACCACTTGACCAGGGAACACTCTCCAACATTAGTACCAAAAGGGTTACGAATCAGTTTTTGGTCTACTTTGGATTCAATATGGTTATTTGGGGTGCTGATTCGGAAAATTGCATTGGATAGACCACATCAAAACACATGCCATCTAGTAGTCGCCATCTGCTCGGCCACAGAAAACCATATTTAATAATATAGAGCTGATGTGGTAGTAGAAATCTTTCGTGGGTAGTCAGCCTCCCCCCTCGGCAGACCATATTTTTGTTCTTGCTGACCACTGGTGGTCCATGGACCACAGGTTGGGAATCACTCCTGTAGATTGAAGTCTACTTCACCAGATGCACAGTATGATGCATTTGATGAAGTAGATCTAAGACAATGAAAACTTTTACTACCAACATCTTTCAGTGAGACTTTTCCATACAGATTCAGACTACACGGCTACTTTGTTTTAGTACTCATGTATCTTTAGACTATATTTTTCTTTGTATTTTGTTGTTGCTTCACTGTGTTTCTGATCGATACATTATTATTGGTAATATTTCCTCCTCGAGCAACATTTGTTGGAGAAACAAGATAAGACAGGCTTGCTTTTGCACACGTGCATTTCTAGTGATGTCGGATCTTGACATTTGGGTAACAGCAACATGTTGTATGCAAAGCTGCCTTTGAAAGTATTTGGAAACTTCCATTCCTCCAAAGAGATGCAATCAGATTGTTCACTGAGGCTGATACAACTCCTTTGTTACAGCAGCTCCACTTTTAGTCATCCATTTCCAGTTACATTTCAAAGTTCTGGTAACCAATAAGTTCTTGGGCCCAATTCAAAATGCAGGTTGGCCCTAAACGGTTCGGGTCCTGTTTATCGTTGAAAGTGTATCTCCCTCTATGAACCAGCATGAGCGCTAAGATCTGCTTGGGAGGCCCTTCTCTCACTCCCACCTCCTTTGCAAGCATGGTTGGTGGGGATGAGTGAGAGGGCCTTCTCGGTGGTGGCTCCCTAGCTCTGGAACTCTCTCCCCAGGAAGATTAGATTAGCCCCACTTTGTCCATCTTTCAGAAAAACCTGAAGACTTGGATGTCCCAACGTGCCTTCGAATAATGGTTCAGCTACTGATCAAGTCTGCCCAGCCCTCATCTTTTGATAGCATCTGCAGCACTTTATTCCCAGCCCTTGACCTTACAGTTTACATTGCATTAGCCCTGTCCTACCATATTAGTCTCATATCTGCACATGCCTACTTTTCTCATCTATTAGTTGTTTGTTGTTTGGTTGTGTTTTATGATGTCTTAGATGTTATTGATTTTATTGTTTTAATACAGTTGATTGTGATATGTTTTAATTGTATTACTTTGTAACCTTGTTTATGGAACCCCCGGTGGCGCAGTGGGTTAAACCACTGAGCTGCTAAATTTGTTGACCGAAAGGTCGCAGGTTTGAATCCGGGAAGTGATGTGAGCTTCCGCTGTCAGCCCCAGCTTCTACCAACCTTGCAGTTTGAAAACATGCAAATAGGTATCGCTCCGGGAGGAAGATAATGGCACCCATGTAGTCGTGCTGGCCACATGACCTTGGAGGTGTCTACGGACAATGCCGGCTCTGCGGCTTACAAATGGAGATGAGCACCAACCCCCAGAGTTGGACATGACTGGACTTAATGTCAGGGAAAAACCTTTACCTTTACATTTACCTTGTTTATATTGGGCTTGGTCCTCATGTGAGTCGCTCCAAGTCTCTTTGGGGAGATGGAGGCAGGATATATGAATAAAGTTATTATATTATTATTATAATCACTTACAAAACCTGCTGTGTGTTAGACAGACCCAGGTTGTCTGAAGAACCATTTCATTGTTGGCCTCCTGTCCACACACTAAATAGAGTTCACCCTGTTTAGTTTTCAAAACCAGAATGGATCTGGTGCCTTTAGGCCACCACAAGATATACAAACCCTAATTTCTAACTCCAAGCAAAAGGACCTTCTTCGTTACTTAAAAGTAAAGTACAGCAAGCAACAGTCAAAATGAAAACTGATACAGTAGAGTTTCACTTATCCAACCTAAATGGGCCAGCTGAACATTGGATAAGTGGAAATGTTGGATAATAAAGAGGGATTAAGGAAAAGCCTATTAAATTCAAATTACATTATGATTTTACAAATTATGCACCAAAACATCATGTTTTTCAACAAATTGACAAAAAAAGCAGTTCAATACATGGTAATGTTATGTAGTAATTACTGTATAAATTTAGCACCAAAACATCACAATGTATTGAAACTGGTGTGGATTTGGTCGGGAGCCAGACTGTGTTGGATAATACAGAATATTCTTTCCAAGGTGAAGAGGAAGCACAGGGTGCTCACCAAAGCTTCCTCTTCATCTTGGAAAGAAGTAATGAGCGGAGTGCCACAGGGTTCCGTCCTGGGCCTGGTCCTGTTCAACATCTTTATCAATGACTTAGATGAAGGGCTAGAAGGCAGGATCATCAAGTTTGCAGACGACACCAAATTGGGAGGGATAGCCAATACGCCAGAGGACAGGAGCAGGATTCAAAACGATCTTGACAGATTAGAGAGATAGAGATGGGCCAAAACTAACAAAATGAAATTCAACAGTGACAAATGCAAGATACTCCATTTAGGCAGAAAAAAATGAAATGCAAAGATACAGAATGGGGAACGCCTGGCTTGAGAGCAGTACGTGTGAAAAAGATCTTGGAATCCTTGTGGACAACAAGTTAAACATGAGCCAACAATGTGATGTGGCGCAAAAAAAGCCAATGGGATTTTGGCCTGCATCAATAGGAGCATAGTGTCTAGGGAAGTAATGCTACCCCTCTATTCCGCTTTGGTTAGACCACACCTGGAATATTGTGTCCAATTCTGGGCACCACAATTCAAGAGAGATATTGACAAGCTGGAATGTGTCCAGAGGAGGGCGACTAAATGATCAAGGGTCTGGAGAACAAGCCCTATGAGGAGCGGCTTAAGGAGCTGGGCATGTTTAGCCTGAAGAAGAGAAGGCTGAGAGGAGATATGATAGCCATGTATAAATATGTGAGAGGAAGCCACAGGGAGGAGGGAGCAAGCTTGTTTTCTGCTTCCCTGGAGAAAGACTAGGACGCAATTGTCATAAGTCAAAGATGAACATGAGGAAGAACTTCCTGACTGTGAGAGCCGTTCAGCAGTGGAACTCTCTGCCCCGGAGTGTGGTGGAGGCTCCTTCTTTGGAAGCTTTTAAACAGAGGCTGGATGGCCATCTGTCAGGGATGATTTGAATGCAATAGTCCTGCTTCTTGGCAGGGGGTTGGACTGGATGGCCCATGAGGTCTCTTCCAACTCTTTGATTCTATAATTCTACATTGGATGAACGAAGGTTGGATAAGTGAGACTCTACTGTATGTGAATTTTAAGATTGCAGACAAAACTAGGAGGAATTCCACATACAATGTACTGAAGCATCTACATGAGATCCTGTCTGACATGACCGCACATAATTGCTTCATGTGGCCCCCCGCCTGTGGAACTTGCTTCGCACCGAATTAAGATCGGCTTCGTCTCTCCTGTCATTTAGGAAAAAAATGAAGTCATGGTTCTGGGACCAGGCTTTTGAACAACAGGCATAGATAGCACTTTGGATATGGAATTGACTGGAATGGTGATAACAGCTGTTAATACTGTTTTTACTGTTTTAATGAATGTTTTACTTATTGTTTTAATTGTTATTATATTGCTCTGTTATATGTAGTGGCAT